TGGAGCAGGACTGAATCTAAACGGTGTGTTTTGTTCCCAACCATCCTGTGGTGTTGGGTCCTCGTTTTGAAGAGACAGCGCCCCGCGTCCCTCCTCTCCTCTCCTCTCCTCCTTCCCTCCTCCCTCCTCCTCGTCATCGTCACGCAACCATCCTGTAGTGTTGGGTCCTCGTTTTGAAGAGACGGTGCCCCGCGTTTCTCCTTCCTCCTCATCCCCCTCCTCCTTCCGCTATCATCGACATCATCATCATCATCATCACCACCACCACCACCACCACCACCCCACCGCCACCACCACCACCACCACCACCACCACCACCACCATCATCATCATCATCATCATCATCATCATCATCATCATCATTATCATCATCATTTTCATCATCATTTTCATCATCATCATCATCATCATCAGCAGCATCAGCATCAGCATCATCATCATCATCGTCATCATCATCATCATCATCATCATCATCAGCATCGTCATCGTCATCGTCATCATCATCATCATCACCACCACCACCACCACCACCATCACCACCACCATCATCATCATCATCATCATCATCATCATCATCATCATCATCATCATCATCATCATCATCATCATCATCATCATCATCATCATCATTTTCTTCCCAACCATCCTGTTGTGTTGGGTCCTCGTGTTGAAGAGACGGTGCCCCGCGTCACACCCAGTACAGCGTTTCGTAGCCCCACAAGGAGCTCCACCGAAGGGCCCAGTGAGGGTGCCCGCATGCGTCCCGCACACCCAGTACAGCGTTTCGTGGCCCCACAGGGAGCTCCACCGAAGGCCCCAGTGAGGGTGCCCGCATGCGTCCCGCACACCCAGTACAGCGTTTCGTGGCCCCACAGGGAGCTCCACCGAAGGCCCAGTGAGGGTGCCCGCATGCGTCCCGCACACCCAGTACAGCGTTTTTCGTGGCCCCACAGGGAGCTCCACCGAAGGCCCCAATGAGGGTGCCCGCATGCGTCCCGCACACCCAGTACATCGTTTCTTGGCCCCACAGGGAGCTCCACCGAAGGCCCCAATGAGGGTGCCCGCATGCGTCCCGCACACCCAGTACAGCGTTTCGCGGCCCCACAGGGAGCTCCACCGAAGGGCCCAGTGAGGGTGCCCGCATGCGTCCCGCACACCCAGTACAGCGTTTCGTGGCCCCACAAGGAGCTCCACCGAAGGCCCCAGTGAGGGTGCCCGCATGCGTCCCGCACGCCCAGTACAGCGTTTCGTGGCCACACAGTAAGGGCCGCGCGGCGGCCGCCGACCCTGACGCTCCTGACGACGACGATACCCAGGAGGAGGAGGATGAGGAGGACGGGAAGGTGGAGGATGACGGGTAGGGGAGGACGGATATCAGAGTGGAGCAGAAGAGCACGGGGAGACATCTTGGCCAGGAGGGTGAGACCTCAGACCTCCGATATTTTTTTCGCGTCGCGAAGCCCCCGGACCTCTCGACTCCATCCTGGTGGCCAGTCCCGGGTAGTATCGTCTAGGGCCCCAGCTTCCGATTTTTGGTCGCGTCGCGAAGCCCCCGGACCTCTCGACCCCATCCTGGTGGTCAGTCCCGGGTAGTTTTGTTTAGGGCCCCAGCGCCCAGAAGCGGCCTCCAGAGGCCGCGTTGTGTTCATGGCATCGGGGCTCAAACATCGAGGCCTCGATCGAGGAGAGGGCGAATTGCAGACCGCCGAGCACGCAAGACAGCATGGCGAGGATACGGGGGGAAGGGGAGAGGAGGGGGGAAGCGAGGGGCCAGCAGCGGAGGGAGACGAGGGAGGGAAAGGGAGGGACATGCAGAGGGTGAGGAGGGAGGGAAAGGGAGGGAAAGGGAGGGAGGGGGAGGAAGGAAAAGGACGGAAGAAGAGGGAAGAGGAGGAGAAGGAGGAGGGGAAAGAGGAGGCTGAGAAGAGAGGGGGAGGAGAGGAGGAGGAGGAAACGGAGGAGGAAGAGGAGGATGAGGGAGAGGGGAGAGGAGGGAGGAGAGAGCAGGGAGGAGGAGGCAGGAGGAGGAGGCTCGCGAGCTGCCAGCTCGGCTGGAGTCGTGCGGCAGCGACCGCCTCTCGCTCCGGGCTGGAGTCCTCTTGTGCGAGCTTGGGGCCCGCCTCTCGCTCCGGGCTTGGGTCCTCTTGTGCGAGCTTGGGGCCGTCTTGGGGCCTCGAGGATCGAGGTTCGAGGCTTTTTGCCATTCGGGGGAACCCCTCGTCACCACGGCTGGACGCGGTCCGGAAAACTGGCCAGCTTGGGAACGGGAGGGGTCCGAGGATAGATTTCGAGCGGGTGCTGGCCCAGGGTGGCGCGAAGGTGGTGGCCTTCCAAGAAGCCAATGGGGGGTTATTGGAGGGGCTAGCAACGCAGCTAGCAAGGCTTTCCGTACTAAGCCACTTGTGCGCAAGGCGGTTTCACCATCAACTGGCGTTGTTCGTGTTTCTCTGCCAACCGACCGCGCTTCGGGATGAAACGGAGCTTATGGGAACAAGTCCACTGGTTTGATGAAGAGGCACCACCTGATCGTGACCCAACAAACAATCATAAGGTGGAAACTTGCCAAAGTAGTGGAGCTATTGTGCGCGTTGGTAAGATAGCAACGCATGGCATTCCACGCAGCGACATGAAGCTAAAGGTTTCGGACGAAGAATTACAGCACTTGCTAAGCAAGTGTGTTCGAGCGCCGACATATCTTTATGCGACGCCGTTCTTGTCATCAAGTCGTGTTTGTGAGGAGTTGACCAAATATTTATGGCAGTGTAGAAAAGCTACGTGCCATGACGTTCACCGACGCCGGTCGGCTCAAGTTGTGTTCAGATATCATTACTGTACGTAGAACCGTTGGCTTGTCGATTCGCATGTCAAACACCCGCGGCACCGACATATTCACAATGTTACAGCGCTGTGTTTTGGAGGCTCACGACGCCGTCGCGGCAAAAACATCATTTCTGGAAGATTTACGCGTTCTTTATCTGAACGTGTATTTGTCGAAGACTGCCCTTTTTTGAGCAATCAAGAAACGCCCTGGCCACGAATGCCTTCCCATTCTTCCAGAACGACGTCTTCTCTTTAGGCATGGACGCTTTTCTGGACAAGATTACTGACGTTTTACTCGATCTCCTCAAAGCCACGTCCTTGGCCCCGTATGGGCGGGCCCTGATGCCTTATGCAAACTGGGTGGAGAACCGCGCTCTGTATTTCAAGGTTGGCCATAACCTGTGTGCACTGGAGGACGCATTGGTGTTTGCAGCTACCCTTGCCGATTGTTCATGGCACGATCTGACGTCGCGAGCGAAAATGGAAGCCATCATTGCTGGGGCGCCACACCTTGGTACTTTCAGGTCGAAAGAAATTTGGATTGATGTTGCTGAAATCATGCTGAAAAGCCCGGACCGGCATCGTCCCTCACCAGCTGACACTTCGAGGGTCTCGGAGGAGCTGCTAGCGGTGGGCGAAACTGGACCTGGCCCCCGCCGCGTCATCCGATTCGTCGCTGGCGATCCCGTATCCAAAGAGCCCTTTAGCATCGCTGAAGTTCAGGAGTACAAGGACGTCGCTGAGAGCATTCTGAAACACTTCCAGATGCGTTTCAATATCGATGGGGCCATCCAGGCTTGGTTTCAAGTTTGCGAGGCATCCAAAGGAGTGGTCGGTTTATTCTGTGGAACAGGCGTGCCTTCTGAGCCGTTCAAGGGCTACGCGCCCCGCAGAAAGATGCAACGGACGCAGAACTCCACGATCCGGCCACTGTCCGCAAGAGAACGACTATACTGGCCAATCGTATCTTTAGTAAATACCCGACACTGGAGAGCAAGCTCCGGGGCAAATTGCCGCGGTAGTGTTTGGCCTCGGACTCCGCGCTGCGCTGCGCTCGCAGCCTTGGACTTAGAAGTGCGCGGGCACGATCCGCCCCGGAACGCTCCTCGTTTGGGATGGGCCGTCGTCGTCGTCGTCGTCGCCGCCGTCGCAGGACGGAGGCCACGACCCTCGCCAGGGAGCTGGGCTTCACCGAGTTTATCCGCGAGGCATGACCTGGGGAGCGGCCCGCCCGAGCCGCGCCATGTCCAGGCTGTCCAACAGTTCGGCCGGGCGCCGCGGACGTCCTGTGCGCGTCGCTGGGACCCTCTCGGGGTGACCAGCGTGCTTCGCGGGGACTCCGTGCTACGCACTGCCCAGTGCCTCGTTCGCCCGTCGTCGCTCTGCCCGGCGGCCAGAGCCATGCCCGCTCCCAGCCAGCCCGCTAGCTCGCTTTGCTCCGCGCAGCGGACGACCCGCGGGCGTTGCTGGGACCCCTTCGGGGCGACCGGCGCGCGTCGCGGGGACTCCGTGCTGCGCTGCGCCCGCAGCCTTGGGCAGTGGAGTGCGCGGGCAAAGACGGAGAAAAAGAGCGGGAGGAAGCGGGGGCGATCCACGCGAGGGGGGTGCCGATATGGGCGTCGACATTCGTACACGTAGATTCCCCCGCACGCAGATTCATACACAATCAGACCCACTCATGCGCAGACTCACCCGCTCTCAAGCTCTCGTTATCAGACCTATCGTCTTCTTCCGCGTTGCGTTCCCCGCCATACATCGGCATGCCCCTCACGCGGTTCTTGGCCTCATAGGGAGCTCCACCGAAGACGAGATTCACAGTTGCGTCGCTCTCAACTGCGTATGGTTGGGCCTTTGGCCAGGCTAATTTTCGTTGTGTTTTCGTTTTCCCTCGTTCTGTCTTCAATTCGCCTTTACAGCAAAACGAAGTCGAGACGAAAACGGCCCACGAAATCGCCAAAACACTGTTTACGTCCAGCCGTGGTGTGGAGGAGGATCAGAAGGAAAAGAGGGAACAGGAAGAAGATCATGCAACAGGGGCGCTCGATTGAGCATTTTCCTTGGGTGGAGGGCTCAGGGTGACATCCATATGCGCGCTTGCGCCTCGAAGAAGAAACGCGAGAACTGAGGGGTGGGGAGGGACCAGGAAGGGAAGCAGGAGCAAAGCCACCGTCCAAACGGTCCTGCGTTATGGTGACGCCATCCCCGTCCATCAGGCCCTCCAGCATCACCCGGAAGTCCCTGCACTTCTCGCACACCACGAAATCGCACTTGCCACCCCATTTGCTGCCGCCCGGCGTCGGGTTGAGAAGGAGGAACCCGTGCTCATCTGCGAGCGCCTGCGGCAGATCCGCGCTCGCATTGAGAAGGAAACTTGCATCCCTCCGCCAAGCTTCACAGCATTTTTTTCCCGCGCCGCGTCGGCCCCCCGGACCCCCTAAATTTCAATGCTGATGCCGAAACGCGCGACTGTTTCTTTTCCGTAGGCGTCCGCGGACCGCGCCGCGCGCGCAACTGGGCATTGAAGTTGGGGGCGGGGGAAGGGGGGGAGGGCAGGAAAACTTGCGCTAAGATTATCGGAGGGTTGTTAGGGGGGGGGGGGAGGCCGGCTCGGGTGGAAAGCGTCGAGCCGGCATCGGCGATGCGTCGCCGACGGATCGGCGGTGTGCCTCTGAGGTGGAAGCAGGGCGACGACGCTTCTGCACATCCGCCGCCGCTGGCCAAGCCACACCCTGGGACCCGGAGCAGCGTGCACGCCTTCCCGGCCAAGCCACGGGGCGTAGGCGCACCGTTCCTGGGCCCAGGATGGGCCTGGCCAGCGGCGGGGGCTGTGCGTGCTCTGGACGGGTCACTCCTCAAGGGGGGGGGGAGGTGCCTCCATGCTCCTCCCCCTCCTCATCCTGCTCCTCTTCCTGCAACCCCCGCTCCACCCATTCCGACAGCACGTGCCCACCCACCCCCTCCGTGGATCCAAGAGGGGGCGATGATTGCCCCCATCCAGAGTGGGTCTCGTCGCCCCGTGAGGGCAAATCCGCGCGCTCCTGGGCGGGGCGGGTGATCGGGCACCTACCAGCGATCAGTGGGCGATCGGGGTCGATGCGTCCCCCCTTGCGCCTACGTGCCCCTAAGATTGCCCCTGATTTTGCAAGAGACGGACACCCTTCCATCTGCAAGCGCGACGTCCTCTGCCACGGCTGCCGCCTCTCCCGCAACGTCCGCAGCCGATTGAACACAAGAGCTCCGACACCGTCTACCAAAAATCAAATGATCCAGTGGGGGGAGCTGGACCTGAGCAAGGACCGACACGAGCATATTCCCATAACGCAATGATACTCTGAGATCCAGGGCGATGCTCGTACCACACAACGCCGATGTCTCAACTCAGTGCTGTCTCAGCCAGACGTGCTCCGAGAATATCTGATTCAAACCACACGAGGTTGGTCAGAAGGACAAGCACCACACAGGCGCAGATCCAAGAAATCCGCGCGGAGCGCCAAACGTCTATGTTTATGGCGTCGGTTCTTCTTCGAGTTAGTGGTACATCTTCTGGCGGGCCTGTAGGCAGACCAGGACGCCCCACCACTGCTTGAGGCACCTTGCTGCGGCACCACAACCCCCACCTGGGGCTCGGACATCTCGAACGCTGAGGGGCGCCGCCCGAGGAGGAGGAGGAGGAGGAGGAGAAGGAAGAGAAGGAAGAGGAGGAAGAGGAGGAGGAGGAGGAGGAGGAGGAGGAGGAGCAGTACCACCACCCACGCAAAACGTGCCGGAGGCACAGCAGACCTCGTCCGGCTGCTCGAGGGTGCGAGCGACGCGGGGAGGTATCCTCCACCACCGCCTGGAGGGTCGATCTTCGGGGTCCTCGGCACGAGGCGGATGTGGATACATTTGGCCACGCCCCATGTTCCGAATCTGTCCACATCCGCCGCGTGCCGAGGCCCTCGAAGACGGATGCCCCAGGCCGGTGGTGATGGAGAAATCTTCGCCTCGGGGTGCGAGCGTCGCGGGGGCAACACCGGGGACCTCGAAGCCGTCTCACATCCTGGGTGGCTACCTACCCCGCCACCCCAACCCAACCCGAAGACCCGAATTTCGGGTACCGGGGAGGTACGGGCTTCAGATATGTGTTTTTTCCATGTTCCCCGCCCCCCCCCCACACTGAAAATGGAGGGCAGATCGGGGCCTTCGGGTTGGGCCAGGGTGGTTTGGTGGGCGGTGATGGGTTGGCACAAACCCAGGTTGGCCAGGGCCCCGTCGCGAAGCCTGGCCAGCCGCTCACATAGCTGGCTCGCGAGCGCGGGTCAGCGGAGGGCGGACGAAGGGAATCGGCCCCACCGGGCTCCCAAACTCGGGGGCGACGATAGGGGGCGAATTGCCCAGGGGGGGAGCAATACATGCGTCCAGGGTTATGATGTTCCAACCTACTTTAGTCTTGACTACCAAAAAGAATTTCGAGCACCAGAAAAAAAAAGGAAATTCGATGGGTCTCACGTGTCGGGCCCTTGGAGATACTCGCCCGACACTGTTTCGACACTCTCTTGACACTTTTCCGGGTGCTCGAAACTATTTCTGGGATACCGCAGAGGCTCCCTCCCCACCAAGCTGCAGCGTGCTGGGTTCGGCCGGCACCCCACGCCCTTCCGGACGCCCTTCCCGACGCCCACAACGCTCCCGACGACCACGACGTCCTTCCCGACGCCCACAACGACCCCGACGCCCTCCCCGGATCCCGACGCCCTTCCCGACGCCCACAAGGGTTCCTGACGCCCATCACGACCGCTTCCTGTCGCCGCCGTAGGGTCCGCAGTTTCGTCGCGGGCGGCCCTTGCCTCCCGGCCCCTGGCCCGGCCCTCTTGCTGCCCCTCCTTTTCCTTCTCCTCGTCCTCTTCCTCCTCCCCACCCTGCTCGTCCCTCCTTTCCTCCCCGGAGGCTCGCCGCAGGACCTGCGTGGAGCCGTGAGGCCCGTGGAACCTGCGTGGCCTGTGGGGCGTGTGCGACTCGTAGGGCCCATGGGACCTGTGCGACTCTGTCAGCTTGCGGGGCCTGTGCCAGAGATGCCAGGGGTTCCTGGACGACAAGTGGGCACGACGCCGAGATGCGAGGATGCCAGCGACGAATCAGTCCCTGGGAACAACAGAAGTTCAAGGGCGCCGATGGTCCATGCCTTCGGCGACGCTCCCCAACGAATGCGTGTACCGTGTACTGCCCGCCACTGGGCTAGTCGCTCCTGGCGTGGCCTCCGATACATCCGGGTCTGCCAGAGGCGATTGGCTGAACACCGTTGGCGCTAACCCCCGCTGAGTGAGCCCCGAGAGCCCAGAGTCGAACCGATAAGCCGGATCGGCGATCGAAATGAATCGGATCGGCGAAAATCCGCAGCAAATCGGGAGAAGTCGAATCGGCGGAAATCGGCAGGCTAGTAAAGCCTCCACTGAGAAATCGAAACCCAGAGCGGAATCCGAGGCCGCAGCGAATCGGAATCGGGAGCCATCGGAATAAACCAAATCGGATCGGAGGAGTCGAAATGAGCCCTGCGGTTGCATGAGGCAGACAAGTCTCAGCAGCGACCGAGGGGGAAAGTGAGAACGGGCGGGCCTTCTCAGAAGGCTCGGAAGTCCTCTGTCCTTCTGGGAAGCGTTGTGAGCCTTCCCCAAAGACACAGAACACTTCGCAGAAGGCGCGAGGGCTTCTGAGAAGTTCCGCCGCCTTCTGAGGAGGCCTTCGAAGACCCACGTCGACACATTGCTAGCGCGGCCAACAATGGGCCAAAGGGGAAGGATGCAAGGGCAACCTTGGAACGTTGCTCATCCTTACTATGCGGGTTGACTGTACAGTAAGAGCTCGACCACAAGAAACCTTCCGCAAGAAATCCACCCTGAGACCCCAGGACGTCCATTGATTTTTGGTGTGGGAACGTCACGCTTTCCATCGCAAAACAATCAGAACCCAGGACACCCAGGGCACTCTGGAGGCAAGCAGGGTGTTTGGGGGCATGGGTCTCCACTGTGTCCCAGGCTCCGTGGGGTTTTCGAAGGGACCAGGAACTTGGGGCCCGACCCTGGGAGGTACAATGGGGGGGCGCTCATCCTCGATGCGGGTGCGTCCGAGTAGCCCCTAAGAGGTGTATCCCGGAGCTCCCGCCCCTTTCTAAGCGGCCAAACTCTTCGGGCGAACCTCAGGACTCGAAGGAGAAAGACCGCCTGTGAGCACACGGCACGCCGTCTCACGGGCCAAGAGACGACGCCAGGACTGGGATGACATCGTGTGCAAGGAAATCGAGAATCTCTGGGATCTGGCGGCTCTGGAGGATGTCGCTGGCGCCGCGGCCTTCGGTCTGAGCCCAGCCCCGTCCGAAAGGAGCTCGGTGTGCGGACGCCCCAGCTCCCAAAGCCGCGAGATACTGCAGCGTCTGTACACCGAACTCCTTCGCCAAAGTGCTGACCCAGATCGCAGAGATCGCTGCAGAGGGAAGGGGCCCGCCCAGCGTTGGCGACCCTCCGTGCCGGGAGGGGGACACTGGCTCTCGTCTGGCCATCATCCTTCTTCAGTTCTGCGTCCTCCCTTCTCTCCCTCTCTCTTTCTCCCTCCCTCTCCCTCTTTCTCCCTCTTCTCTACTTCTTCCTTCTACCCCTTTCCCCTCCTCACCCTCCTCACCCTCCTCCTCCTCCTCCTCCTCCTCCTCCTCCAGCTCCTAGGCCCTGGGTCGCTGCCAGAGGCGGGGGCAGCCCTGCAGGCTGCGGCCTGCGCGGGAGGCGGGGAGGCGGGGGCCTGCAGAGGCAGCAGAGCGTCGGCCCCTGCTCGGGTGCGGAGGCCGCGTCAGAGGAAGAGGCCCGCAACACCACAGGAGGCAACTCCTGGGAGGTCTTCGTCGGACGATGAAGCGATTGAAAACAATGCGGCCCGGAAGGAGCTCCTACCGGGCCGACTTGTTTTCGTAGGGGGACGTCCTCCTAGGAGGACGCTGAGCCGCATCAGGGCGGATGAAGCCCGGGACTAAGGCGGCTTCGTCAGGACTGAACAAGATGAAGCGGCATCAAGCCACATGATATGGGGAGAGCGTGATCCACCGCCGCTTTACTGTGGAAAATTGCCAACCTTTTCCTCTGGAACCCGGGGGTCGCCCCCCCCCCCCCCTCCGAAAATCCCCCCCCCCCCTGCTGGAACCCCTCCCCCCCCCCCCCCCCCTCCCCCCCTCCCCCCGGCAAAAACCCCCCCTCCCCTAACCCCTCCCCCCCCCCCCCTCCCCTCGAAAACCGGGGGGGGTCACTACCGGTTCGAACCCCTCCCCCCCCCCCCCCCTCCGGATCCGGAAAACCGGGGGGGGTCACTACCGGTTCGA